ACTGCTATTTTACATATATAAAAAATATTTAGTTTTGAATTAATCTAATAACATCTTCTTTTTTTTTTAGCATGACTTAATGCTATATTACTACCACTTTATAATACCTGTGTAGCTAAATACATTACATTTCCAGCTACTAAAAATATTTTTTATATTGTTATTATTGAAAGTCATTAAATGATGTTACCCTTGCAAGCATTAAGTGATTGTTAGTGTCGCAAATAATTTTCAAATAAGCTATTCCATAATGTAATAAAATTTTTAATACAGCAAAAACTTACTACTTAGGTAGCAAGGTTAACACTTTTTCATAAATACTTTGTCAACTTTATATGCTCAAAAGTAAGTTTAGGTAAAATGCAAAGGCCACATTCTCTGTCTTCATAGAGTGTATAAACAATATGGTTCCACTGTATAAACTTACCTTCCTTACATATATCTTTTTCCATATGTTTTAAGTTGGATAAGTCACATTTAAATAAGACAGTAACGAGTTGTCTTATTTTAATGTGGTGGATTAGGCATAAACGAATCATTTAAAATGCTTTTTCAACAACTTTTTTTTTTCATAAACATCACAAGTTACAAGCAACAAATTTTAAGAAATTTTGATTGCTTTCTAAAGCAAAAGAAACATTAGTCATGCAGTGACACCAGTTGTAAAAGTCAAGTATATCGTCTTGATTAGTCAAGTATATCATCATACACTGCAGCTGACTTTGAAACTAAAAAGTTAACATAAATATCTTATTTTAGTTAAAAATAACCTTAGATTTTGAGATATTTTTTTTCTGCATTCAACAAAATAGATATTAAATTATAGCTTAAAATCAAGATTTAAAATAATTCTGCAATCTTCTTTTAATACTCTGTACTTTTTTTATAATTAAATTAAATTTGATTTAAGTATGATAGTGATGCAATATTTGGTAGCAGACTTTTGCATCATCTTTATTGCATCAAGTATATATTTTTTATTTGCTATTATATAAATTGCAATACAGCATAATAAAAACAAAAATTTATATACGAGCTTTTGAATTTTAGTTTAAGATTTGATATACTAGCTATTTTTAAAGTATTTTTTAAAATCCTAATTTTTTTTACTGATTAAGTTTTTTACTTATTAATAAAAATAGAAAAATTTCTGAATTCAAACAACTTCAGCATGCTTTCAATCAATTTTCTTATCAAGTTGATTAAAGGATTATTTAATACAATAGAATGTTGTCAATGATAAAAACATATTTAACCAATTTAACAACATTACATATAATAGGACACCCAAATAGTTAAAATAAAAGGAAAATCTTAGTAATACATAAAAAAGACTAATAGCTAGATAGATATTATTCAGATCAAATTAAACAAGAATCTATTTCAGTTTATAAACTATTAAGAAAAAATTATATTTATGTTATACTTTTAGCATTGGGCTTATTCATAATAGGTGGCGGAGGTTCTGGCAATGAAGAGCGGTATGATTTGTTATTCTTATTTTTAATGCTTTCTTTAACATATATCTCATTTGATGTAGAAAGTTGTATTCTTCACAATATGAAAATGAATCTAATTATAAAACATTTTGCTACAAAAAAGTAATTAAGTTACCTTTAATAAAAATACAAAACAAGTTAGATACTGACTATCTGTTATCTTACACTTTATCAATGGAAATTTGTGCCATTCTTTTGTTGACAAAAGGTTGTTTTTCAGTGCATGATTATAGTTTTTTTTTTTGGGACAATAAATTTGTTGGTATTATTTGTCAATCCACTTGTTTAGTGCATAATTACTTAGTTAGAAAAACATGCAGAAAAACTTTCCTTTAAAGTTGGGTTATGCTTATACTCATTAGGCTTTTGGTCATAAGAGTATTCATTGTACAAAATCGATGACTCATGATGGTCAAAATATTCTTTTAGATTTTCGCAAGATAAGAAATCATTTCTTTTAGAAGTTCCAACATTCGATTTTTTTTCTATATGTACTGATGAAAATTCTAGTATTTTTTAATATTCTTTTTGGACACGTCTACTGCGTCTCTTTTCGTAAGCCCTTTTTGTAATAGACATAAATGAATCTTGGCTTCTTGATAAAAACGATAAGTGCACAACCAATAAAACATTCTTTTGTGTTATTGAAAAGCACTCATATTATGAGTGTTTTTCAATAACACAAAAGCTTGTTTTATTGGTTGTGCACTTATCATTTTTACCGAGAAACCAAGATTCATATATGAGTCATATATATATATATATATATATATATATATATATATATATATATATATATATATATATATATATATATATATATATATATATATATATATATTATATATATATATATATATATATATATATATATATATATATATATATATATATATATATATATTTTAATTACACTATCTTTTATTCTAGAAATAAAAATATCAACTTGAAAATATTAATTTTGTAATGTTTCTGCAAAATAAATTTCAAATCACAAGGATTTTAGCAAACATGCTAAGCATCAAATCATCGAAATATTTTGTGAACTATAATAGCATGTTATTTTATTATTTAAAATTTATCAAAAGAAATAATCATTAATGTTTTCCATAGGTTAAAATCTTCATGCTTTTTTTGTAATAAGTTTAAGCATGGTTTTTAAATGGCGGTCATTTATAATTGTCGCTCCGTAAAATTAGTTGATATTTTTTTCTTGTTTTTATAACAAATCTATATAAGACATCTTAAAGACATCTAAGTTTAGATGAAAAAAAAATTATCTATGCACGATCTATTTTATGCATCTAATATGCATCTAAAACAGAGCAAAAATATTATCTCTAGAATCAGACGTCTTTTTGATCTCTAATATACGTCTAAAATATACGTATCGGCAATAGATACAAATTAGACCAATTTTAGACGGTCTAAAAGACGTCTATTGTTTGCTGGGGAAAAGGTGGTTGAATTTTTCATCTTTTTGTTTGTGAATGAGTGTTTGTGGTTAGCCAATCTTTTCTTCCATTCACCTTCTGCTAGGCCAATATATACTTTTTCTGGAGTGTTAGAGGGGGGATATTATACAATTTATTAATGCTCTGTTTTTTAAGAACATTGAGCACACTATTTGTAGAATACACTATGTCTATATACTTATATATATATATACTTATATATAAGTCCACTGCAAATCCACTAAAACAATGTTTGCTAGGTTGTTTATTATATAATATAAATATTTTATAAACTTGATTCGTCAAAAACTTATAATCCACAAATTTGGCCGTTTCTGTAAAATTTCCTGTTGTCCCAAAATTTGAACAAAATCCCAAATCCCCAAAACTTCCTGTTGTTCAAGGATTGTTACAAATATGCTAATTGCGAGAATTGCAAATCAGGAGTTTTTGTAATGAAATATTTTGTGTTAAATTTTTATATTAAAAATATTTTATAGTTATCTGAATGATTGTAAGTAAAAAGTGATAATAGGTTTTACATTTTCAGAGTCAAGCATTTCATAAGGAGTACGTCAAAGATTACAAGATTCGTGTAAGAAATTTAAAATTTCCCAGAAAACATGTAAGCGTTGAATCAACGTTGAAAACCAGTCGCAGCGTAGAGAAAGCGTTACAATCACAAAAACAACGTGTTTTCAACGTTGAATCAATGTCTGTTTTTGTATACTAAATCGCGGTAAATTGAAACGTTGAATAAGCGTTGAAATTGTAACGTAATTTAGCCTCTCAAAATAAAACGTTTACTTAACGTGGATTCAACTTACGCAAAAAGCCACTTTAAAAACGTTTCAAAGTATATTCTTTATCAACGTTAAAAACAAACCGCTTTTTAAACGTTACATTTTCGACGTTGAATAAGCATTTAAATTTAAACGTATCTTATCTTCTCAAAAAAATGCGTTCATTAAACGTTGAAAATAAGTACGCAAATAATCACTGTAAAAACGTCGCAAAGGTAATGGTTTATCAACGTTAGACATTAGCTGCTTTTTCAACGAATTTAAACTATTTGAAAAACAACACTTAATCAACGTTATTTCAACGTTGGTTAAAAATGTGGTAATTAAAAAACGTTGAAAAAGTGTTATTTTGCCAACGTTAATAAAACGTTGTTTTGACAATAATATGTATATAAGTAAGGCAAGTTGTGTATAATATATACAGTTTTTTTTTTAAATTACAAAATATTGTCATGTCTAGTCATTTTTATTGAAAAATATAAAAGTTGGTATAATGGTTTGGAAATTTTATTAAAGAATTATTATCAATATTTAAGAGTTTAATATTTCATGAGGAATTTAATATTTATATACTTTAACATTTATTTATTATTTTATTAAGAGTTTGTATTCTAGTTTTATTAAATATCTGTATACAGACTTATAAAGTATCTTCCATTTAGCAGGAGTTTTCTGAATTTTGAAGAGTAATTTATCCCTAACTTGCATTTAAAAACAATTTAAAAACTTTCTTTTCCTCATTAGTAACTTAAAATACACCAAGCTTCTAACTTTTGAAATTCTTTTCATTTTATAAGTTAAAAAAAATGGTTAAAGATTGTTAAAAAATTGCTCAACACAAACATAAATATATAAAAAAATATCTATACAGAATAAATTTTAGCTCAGTCAGTGGCAATTTTGGACATTTTAAAGTTAGTTGTCAGAGTAATAAATCATTAAAAAACTTTTTTAGTCAATAGAGGTATTTTAGTGGACAAATATCCAGTGGTATAAATTTTTTTCCAAGTCTTCCTTGAACATTTTTAAAACATGACAGCTATGTGTTTACACATAAAAACTATATATTCATTTATATATATATATATATATATATATATATATATATATATATATATATATATATATATATATATATATATATATAATATATATATATATATATATATATATATATATATATATATATATGTAAATGATGTATATGTGAATAATGTATATATAAAGATTTATATATACATTATTTACATATAAATTAGGTTTGAAGCAGAGGCAGTTGCTCGAAATCAGAGGCATCTTGTTCGAAAAAAGATGGATGGTTATTTTGGCCAACTTGTGTTCATGCAATGAAAACTACCTATAATAATTTTCCAATCATTGATTCCTGCAACAAGCTTAGACTTAAAAGAGTTAATGTAACTGGAAGTCATTAAATTTTACAGTAATTATTGCTATTTAAATTTTTTTATATAAATAAAAAAACTATTATAGTTTTATATTAACAATGAAGTATTATATCAAATAAACTATTTTATTTTTATTTCGGAATAAGTAATATTTTGAATCTGTTTATGGTATTATTACTGCCTAGATATATATTGTAATCTGTTTACACTTATTCTACATTTTTGTTTTTACATAATTTTGTTTATATTTGTTTTACTAAATAATTACTAATAGATAAAGAAGTTATGTGCAGGATTTAATTTCACGACTAAAGAGGATTTCAAAGAAGAATGTAAGTAATTATATTTGTGAATAATTTTGTTTCTCTTCGGATTTAACTTTTCTTTGTTTTTTATATAGTAAAGAATAAAAAAAAATCTAATATTAACTATGGTTCAAAGCTGATTTCAATAATACTGTCTAAATTTTTTGACTTGTGGAAGTTTGATTACCAGTATAAATTTATTTAGTAAAGTTCTAGTGGATCAAAGATTGAGGAATGATTTGGTTTTAACTGGTTTGAATCTTATGAACGAAGTACATAATATGATTTAAATTGATGATTTATAGTTACACCTATTGAAGTAAGTTTTATTTAGTTACTTAATGTATAGATACATGACTATTTTTAGTTGCAAAATTTATATACATACATATATATATATATATATATATATATATATATATATATATATATATATATATATATATATATATATATATATATATATATATATATATATATATATTTATATATATATTTTTAGTTGCAAAATTTATATACATACATATATATATATATATATATATATATATATATATATATATATATATATATATATATATATATATATATATACATATATATATATATGTATATATATTTATGTTCATATTTATATATATATATATATTTATATATATATTTATGTGTGTGTATATATATATATATGCATATTTATATATAGAGAGAGAGAAAATTTAATTAAGTGCCAGTTCGAAATAACCGGAAATTTACTGTATATATATATATATATATATATATATATATATATATATATATATATATATATATATATATATATATATATATATATATATATATATATATATATATATATTTATTGTTGTTATTATTATATATATTATTATTATAATAGATTATTATTGTTATATAATATATAGTAATAATTATAGGGTTTTTATTTGTCAATATAGGAATACCAACAATATTGCAATATTTTTTTGTAGCAAATAAATGAATTTTGTAGTCTAACAAAAATTGTGGATTTTAAGTCTAGAATTTAAAGACACAGCAAGCCTCAGGTTATTACAGAAGAAAGAGCAGATTTAAAATTTGATGCTTGTTCTAAGCAATTAAAAAGTGAAGATTTATTGTCAAGACAAGAGTATAAAGTGGAGTCATTAGCAAATTGAGCCACTTTAGGTTCATTATGATTGTTATTGTAGATAAAAAGTATTACAGAAACAAATATAGAACCTTAAAGTTACTAGAAATAGAGAGGGTAGGCCTTCAAGAAAAACTTCACTACTGTAGTTAAAAAGAAGTAATTTAATTACCTCAAACCCTTTTAATAGAAAATTATAAGAAACTAATTACAAAGTGAAGAAGAATCGTAGGATACTTGGAGAGGTCAAAGTGTTTTCTAGAGATTTGAAAAATTGGAACCACGTATTTAACACTTTTTTAAAGTTTAGCAAAAAATTGTAGATAGTTCTGGAGAACACTTTTTTAAGAATATGATGGAAATCTTGTCTGAAGCAAACATTGTAGATGTGTTTAATTGAGAATTAGTTTTAGTATTGGAAGCTAGAGTATTTTCGATGTTTAGCAAAAATATTTTACTGTTAGGAAGAGTATGGCCGTTATATTCCAGAGTCAAACTAGAGTAAGATTACTTTGTAAATAGCTCTGTTTTACTTTGCGGTAAAGTAAAAAGATGAGACCCATAAGTTAGAGATAAAACGTTAGGCTGACTTTAGTTAATAACACTGTTGAAAACTAACCAAAAGTCTCTAGAATCAACATCTTAGATAAGATACAAGGTTTAGTAAACTGAGAATAACAGAGATATACATCAGGCAAGACTTTATTTATACATTAGCTTATTGCAATAATAAAAAGGATAATTTTTTCTTAAGAGAGATATTCTTATAAAAAAGCTGAAAAACGTAGTTACTGTTGAAAGATGTAGAGTAGAATGAGGCTTGATTTAAAACTGAAGAGAAGTAATAATAGCTTCCAAACTTTTATTCTAGAAGCAATTCAAGTTTCCAAGATGCACTCTTTGCTCACATATTATGGATATAAGCATATTTGTTTGCTATTTGTTTATATGCTAGCATACAATATCCTTTCATTGTTGTATAAACTTTAGTATTTATATGGTGTAGTCTTTGCCGAAAGAGAAAATGATCAGATGGATGTGTGGTGTGACTCTAACAAGATATAAAAAGTAAGCATAATCTTAGACAGATTAGAAGAAACGTTGTATCAAACAACCTTTTTTTTTAGAAAAAGTTAAAGTATTTTATAAGTTTCAGTTATTAACATGTAGAGTGGTAGCAGCTTCAGTATAAAATGGTTGTGGTAGATGTAAGAAAATTTGAAGAGTGTGCCTTACATAGTGCCATAAAGATGATAATGATTATCATGATGACGATCAACAACATCAACTAATTTTTATTATCATTGTCAAGCTTTCCGCTTTTATGCTGTTGATGATAATGATGATCATGATGATTATGATGATGATGATGATGATGATGATGGTGATGATGATGATTATGATGATCATGTTGATCACAATGATGTTCATATATGCATATATATATAGAAAATATAGCATAAATTTTAAATTTAAAAAATATACTTTAGGATGTATAAATGTTTATGCAGCCTGGTCTCAAACCCGGTCCTGGCCCCGGCTATTTTTTATCAAACCCGGCCCTGGCCCCAGTTAAATATAAACCCCAGTTGTTTACTACAAAACATTTCAAGAATAAAAAACGTCGTGTTGTTTTTAAAATTAATTTCTTATTTTATGCTATTACGACGATCACAATATATATATATATATGTGTGTATGTATAATTTATATATATATATATATTTATTTTTACTTTTTAAATTTAATAATAATCATACTAATTTAATAACATTTTTTAAACATTTGCTTTCAGATTGATAATGATACAAGTTTTATTATTTGATTTAGATTCTGTATCTCAATGATATCCTGGCTTATTGATACGATATCCTGTAAATCCACTCACACACATAATTTTTACTCACACACGTAAATCCTGTAAATTCACTCACACGCATAAATCTTAAAAAAGATGTTTATATTTTTATGTATAAATTGTAAATTTTATATAAATAAATTGTATATTTTTTATGTTTTTCATTGTATTATACTATTTGTATTAAAAATCGACTTTGGAAATATTGCAAGTGCAGAGTTTAACATACATTTTTGTTTTATTTGCAAATTCAATATACATTATAACCAAGTTTAATCACGTTTAATAATATTTTGTGATATTTTCTCCAGCGCATTTGAGTGTTGATTTATCGTTATATTTCAACCTTTACTCGACGTCTTTGAGTCACGTTAAATTGACGTTTTACTACCAACGTTACAAATCCTTTCAAAATCAACTGCTTTACCAACGTTAAAGTAACGCTTTTCAAGTAACGTTTTTTCAACGTTAAGTTGCGGCGCCTATGCAACGCTTTTCAAGTAACGCTTTTTGAACGTTTAGTTGAGACATTTTTTTAACGTCTTTTAGTAACGTTTTTTCAACGTTACGCTACAACGTTTAATCAACGTCTCTTTAACAACGTCACATATCTTTGCAAAATCGATTACTTTGTCAACGTTTTCGCAACATCTTTTGCGACCCGTTTCCAACGTTTATTTAACGCTGACATGTTTGCTGGGTTCTTTTAATAGAAGTATTTAAATCTATAATTAATCTAAACCCATCATTTATGAAAAACCTTTTTACAATAAAAAGCATTTTGAACTTCGTTGATGAAAATAAATAACTGCTATTTTCCAAAGACTCAAGTACAAAGATACTAACAGCGTTTTGTATAAAGCAACCTCACTTTGGATCTCTCTAGGTAATATTACTATGTCGTGTATAAACTGTGTTTCAAAAAAATTGTTAAAAAATAGCTAGACATTAATTGCGTTTTTAAAATTTGTAATTAAAAAAATATTTTTTAAACTTTCTGGTTTAAACTTTGTTTCTTGATATATTATTTATTGCAAATAAAAAAGCTTTTTAGCAGAATCATTAACCATAGGTAGCCAGTTCTTAAATCTTCTGTTTGAATAAATGTTTTCTTATTTCCTATAAATAGCTCAAGGGCCGGTTTAAGTACTAGTTGGATTCGCAGCACTTGAGGACTTCTGGCCTTAAGGTCTTCTGGCCTGAGTTTAACATAGGTTTAAAATAATAAAAAATCTTTGTAACTGTTGCGCAATGATTTTTCAATGTATTTTCTTTTGCAAAACAAGCATCTTCAGCTATTTTTATTTTATCAAAAACACGCTGCGATTAGTATAGGTTTCAAAACACCTTTCGTCGGCATTTCAAGCTTGCAAATGCAGATATGATATTTTCTAGATCAATGAAATCCAATAGCTGGTTTTCTTTTTGAACAATAGAAAGATCTGAAAGACATTCCTGACTCGTAAATAGAAGATAACATCTAACTTTAAAAATTAAAATATAAGAGTCTGCTATAATTAAGATTGATTCTATTCAAGAGATATTCAATAAAGAGCTCTTTATATAACGAACTTGCAGCATGTAATGTTCTAGCGAGTTGTACAGTTCTTCAACCCTACCTAAATCAAGCATGAAGGTCTGCAGCTTCTTGTTAACTTTGTTCAACTTCTCCATGATTCTGTTTCAAATGATTTTTAAAAGAGTTGTCATAAGTTGTTCCATTTCAGTCTAAGGTCTGAAAGCCTCTGCTCTCGTTTTTGCTTTCTAGTAGTTCAAAATCATAAAAAAGGGTTTACAGGGTAAGTATTGACAATCACAAATGAAATATGTTTTAGTTGATTTTCTAAATAGTTCTTAATTCCAGCATAAAAATGCTGGAATGTTACTGGTATCATAACATTAAAGAAACTCTTCCAACCAAACTGGAAAAGCAATAACGGCAGTTAAGCGCATGTAAGTTATATAAATGTACTCAGATCTTGCATGACGGAATCTGCAGTTAATCAATGAAACGCGAAATTTCCTTTAAGCTAAGTCTCAATAAATATATTGTGTAAAGTAGTGTAATAACGCCAGCGACATATAATACCATTTCATTGTTCAAAGTTAACTAATATTCATGGAAACATCTAGGAACCATTGTCAGAACTCCTTAGATCAATTATTTCTGAGTTATTAAGTTAGATTATTTGTAAATTGTCGTTTATTTTATTCTCATTTTGAGTTATTCATATTTATTTTATCAAGTGATTTTAGGCCAATTTTTTTAAATTGTTGATCAAGTAATTATTGACTTTACTTATATTTGTTCGAAACATGTCAATGTTATTTTTATTTTATTAATTTATTATTGCTATCTTTTTTATTCATATCTATAATAGCATATTCAATTATTGAAAATAAGAAATGGTCACAATTTAAATATAAAAAAAAAACGTATTACAAAAAATGTGGTACTACGACCAATAACGAAAGACCACAATCGGCTAATAACGCTACAAGTTTTTTTTTGATTTATGGTATTAAGGTTATGTATATATGTGCTGTGATTGCGCTCAAAGCCTGTAATTTACTGCAAACTACTGTAATTTAATGTGAACGTTTAAAAAATGAAACAAAAAAAGCAAATAATATATTGTCTAAAAAAACTTTGTTTAACAACCGCAATACTTGCATTAAGGTAAAAACTTGAGACATGAATACGGGGATATTTACTAAAGAAAAAACCTTTTACTTTTTTGACCAGTACCAATTACCAGGAAAAGCTTTATTAACTTTTAGTAGACGATAATTATTGATTTATATGTGGATATTGTGCTTCTATAAAATTTGTCAAATATTATAAAAGCAATATATATATATATATATATATATATATATATATATATATATATATATATATATATATATATATATATAATAGATCTAATAGTTTAATATCTTATATTGCAGATTATAAAAAATAGAGGCTTGTTAGTTTTTTTTTAACTTGTTTAAATGGATAATATTGCTTTTCAACGAAATGCTGTGTGCTGCTGTTGTTGGAAAATGTTTTGAGCCAGGTCTAAATCTTTAATTAGTGTAAATTCAACGGTAGAAGAACTGATGAAGTTGTTTGTTTATCCAGGATATTCTCTGGATGTGTGCAGCTATCCTAATGTTATATGTTCTGGATGTCAGAGAAATCTCTACCTACTAAAAGCTGGAAAACCTCCTCGAGGTTCATGGGGAGAAAAGATTGCCAAAGTATGTAAATATTGAACAAAATATCAAGTCCATTTAATTTATTTATATATAGAACCTGATCTTATTAGCATTAAGTCTAGGAAATTTGCAAGCAGAGCAAGTTGCATCTGGTATAATAAAAGCAAAAATGGAGACTGACGAAATTGCGAAAGGGGAACAATTTATTTTGTCTTCTGGTGGAAACCCATTGATGATTACAGTTGGATGTCCTGATAACAAAGCAAATAGAAGGTACATATATACTGTTGAGTACATATTTATCAAATGATAAGATATTAATATTTTTTTCATTTATACCTAGGTCAGTTAAACAAGTATCTCTTCAGATGATTAAAGAACTTCAACTAGTTTTCGAACTTTCCCTTAATAAAACGGGGCTATTGATATCTACTCTTCGAAAAGGAATGGGAAGTAAGTTGGCTGTAGAAAACAACATTTTTGGAAAAATGAGTGACTTAGAAGAGTCTTTATCGTATTTTTATCAAGTAGAAAAGGTGGCAATTATATCTTTTAGTATTGAAAATTAATTATAGCATTAAAAGTTTTTCAAAAATTTATTGTTATTTTTCAGGTCAACTTCTTTGATAGTACCGGTGGCACTTCTATAAAAGACCTTGTTTTTGTTCAAGACACGTCTAGTTTTATTCTTGATTTAATTATTCAACGTTGTCTTGATCCCCAGTCAGCATTTGTTCGTATTTCTATGGATGCAGGAGGTGGTTTCATGAAGGTCATTGTAAATGTTTTCGATGTTAATGAAAATACTACTTCAAATTTATACTTAAATAGTGGTGTTCAACGATGCCAAATCCTCTCCATAGTTGAAGATGTGCAAGAATCTAACTTCAATTTAAGAATAATTTTAGAGAAACTCAATTTACAAGATGTTAAGTTTTCAGCAGCTTTTGATTTGAAATGTGCTAATGCAGTTTTTGGAATATCAAGCCATGCAGGTAAAAAAGCTTGTCTTTGGTGTGAAGGAGACTCAAGTGAAGTTTGTGGTAAACTGCGAACACTTGGAAGCCTTGACTATTGGTATCAAAGATACACTGTAGAAAATAGTTCAAAGAAGTCTAATATGAAACATTTTATGAATGTAATATATCCAAGAATTCTCTACCTCGATGAAGATCCAGATACACTAATCCAACATTTAGTACCTCCCCCTGAATTACATATCCTGATAGGAATAGTAACAACACTGGGGTGTTTATTATTGGATCTTTGGCCAGGTTTTGATATTTTTTTGAAAAATAGTGGTGTTCTACAAAGAGGATATCAAGGTAGAGGTTGGGATGGGAATAATTCAAACCAGATACTAAAGTGTGTTGATGAGTTGGAAAGAGTTGTTTTGTATGAATATCCTGATCTTCTGCCAATTGTTCAATGTTTAAAAGACTTAAAGATTGTTAAAGACTCTTGCTTTGGTAGAACACTTGAGCTTGGGTATCAGCAAGCCATTCTAAAATTTAAGAACTCCTTTTTATCTGCTCAAGAAATTGCAGATATTCTCGGAAAAAAACTTTCAATTAGTTGGAAAGTACATATACTTTTGTGTCATGTGCAACCTTTTGTTGAACATCACAAATGTGGTTTGTCTAAGTTTGCTGAACAATGTGGAAAATCAGTTCACTCAAAATTCAAACCAACGTGGAACAGGTTCAAACGACAAGTTGCAAACAAAGAATATGGTGGAAGACTCCTCTCTTCTGTTATTGATTTTAACGGAAGAAGAGTTAGTAATGTTTAGGTGCTTTATGTTCCATATGTCAGTAGTATTTGTAAATATTAGTCATTTTATTGTTTTAAATTTTATTCAATTCATTTAAATTAAAAAATAAAGATTGACAAATAAATAAAAAAAATAAGAATTTTATATTTTTTACTAGATTCTAGGGGCACTGTACCT